AATCGGCGTCGGAGTAACCAGCCAAGTCAAGATTGGAATTCCGAGAATAGAAGATCCCTAGATCAACTGTACCACTCACATATCTAATGATGCGTCTAACAGAGCTTAAGTGTGATTCTTTTGGATCTGCCTGAAATCGAGCACACACACCAACGCTAAAAGCAATGTCAGTTCTAGTAGCTGTGAGATAAAGAAGACTACCTATCATGCTTCGATATAGGGAAGGATCTACACTTTTACCTGAAGGATCACGACCTAACTTCAAGCTAGAACTCATAGGTGTCCTAGTATGCTTCTTACTATCTAGCCCAAAGCGCTTAACTAGATCCTTAGCATACTTGGACTGTGAAATGAACAGTCCATCCTCTGTCTGTCTTACCTGAAGTCCAAGGAAATAACTCAACTCCCCAACCATACTCATTTCAAATTCTTGCTTCAAACATTCAGCAAACTCATAAGCTAGAGACTCAAGAGGAGAGCCAAAAATTATGTCATCGACATAAATCTGAGCAATGGTGATAGTTTCATCAACATGTCTAATAAATAAGGTCCTATCTGCACCTCCTTGAGAGAATCCATGTTCTTCAAGGTATGATGTAAGTCTCTCATACCAAGCTCTAGGAGCTTGCTTCAGACCATAGAGGGCTTTGTGTGGTTTGTACACATAGTGGGGAAACTTAGGATCAACAAATCCTTTTGGTTGTTCCACATAGACTTCTTCTTGAAGAAGTCCATTCAAGAAGGCACTCTTTACGTCCATTTGATGCAACTTGAACCCTAAGGTACAAGCAACAGCAAGCAGAATTCGAATAGACTCAAGTCGTGCAACAGGGGCAAAAGTCTCATCAAAGTCAATTCCTTCAACTTGAGTATAACCCTGAGCAACTAATCGAGCCTTATTCCTAGTTATAGTACCCTGGTCATCTGTCTTATTCTTAAATATCCACTTAGTACCAATAACATTACAATTCTCAGGTTTGGGAACTAAGATCCACACATTGTTCCTAGCAAATTGATTGAGCTCCTCATGCATCGCATCCACCCAACACTCATCACCAAGAGCCTCTTCAACCTTTTTAGGTTCTACCTGAGATACATAGCTAGTGTATGCTAGATTGTTCAGTACTCTCCTACGAAGCCTCATGCCTTCATCTAGATCCCCAATGATATTGTCTTTAGGATGATTAGACTTAACCCTAGTCGATGGTTCCTTAGGATCTTTATCTCGATCTTGTGGAAATGTTTTCTTTTCAGGTGTTTCAGGTTTTTTAAGTGATGATTCAGACATAGGTATCTCAGTAGGATCATTAGAACTTATAAGATCTCCATCTTCATCACAATTTTCAACACTCTCCCCCTCACTTACAGCATCATCTATCACAACATTTACTGACTCCATCACCACACGAGTACGTAAGTTGTACACCCTGAATGCTTGGCTATTTCTAGAGTATCCTAGGAAGATTCCTTCATCACTCTTCGATTCAAACTTACTCAAGTTCTCTCTATCACGTAACATGTAGCACTTACTCCCAAATACTCGAAAGTACTTAACAGTAGGCTTTTTACCCTTAAGTATTTCATATGGAGTCTGATCGGTTTTGGGTCTAAGGTAAACTCTATTAATTATGTGGCATGCGGTGTTAACAGCTTCTCCCCAAAAATGTAAGGCTAGTCCCTTGTCATGAAGCATGGCTCTAGCCATGTCCTGAAAAACTCGATTCTTCCTTTCAACCACTCCATTTTGTTGAGGAGTGATAGGGGAAGAGAACTCATGCAATATGCCTTCATCCATGCAGAAACTTTCAAGATTAAAGTTCTCAAACTCCTTTCCATAGTCACTACGCATTCTAGACACTTTGAGATTTAGTTCATTGCTAAGCCGTTTGTACAAAGACTTTATGAGATCACATGCATCAGATTTTTCCCGAAGCAATTCTATCCATGTGAACCTCGAGAAGTCATCTACCACAACTAGAATGTATCGCTTACCACCTAAACTCTCAGTCCTAGATGGTCCCATTAAATCCATGTGTATCAATTCTAAGGGTCTTTTGGTCAGAATTTTAGAAGTCTTCTTATGGTTTCCCTTGAGTTGTTTACCTAGTTGACAAGGTCCACACATAGCATGTTCACTAGGACCTATCTTAGGCAAACCATCTACTAACTCTTTCTTAGCTAGTTGTACTAGACTCTTATAGTTCAAGTGACCTAACCTTTTGTGCCAGAGTTCACTCACATCAATTTTAGCACTCCTACACACATAGTTAGAATTAGGCAAGACTCCATAACAATTATCAGCTGTTCTAACCCCTTCAAGAACTACCCCACTAGATGAATCATACACAGTATATCTCTTTTGCACAAAGCTCACTTCAAAATCAGCATCACAAATTTGACTAATACTTAACAAATTTGATTTTAAACCTTCAACACAAAGCACATTAGACATCTCAGGTAAGCCATGCATTTGTACAGTACCTTTGCCAAGAATAGGTGCAGAACCTCTATCTCCAAAGGTAACCATACCACCGTTACATTCATCAAGAGTAGTAAACAAAGCCTTATTACCACACATATGCCTAGAACATGCACTGTCTAGGTACCACATATTGTAATTTTGGGCTTTTAATGCAACATGAGCAACAAAACACTTATCTTGACTTGAATGTCTAGCTAAATCGCCCTTTTTGACCCAAACTTTCTTAGATGATAAGGTACTCCTAGTAAGCTTAGTAAGCATCTCAGTCAAATGACTAACTTGATTAGACAGAAAGCTAACCTGACTAGGAATGTTCTGATTTCTACGCTCATTGCCTAACTTATAGCATCTAGGTCTAGTGTGTCCTAGAGCTCCACAGTGGTGATAGGTGGGAATGAACCTAGGTTCAAAGGTACGTGGCTGTGGGTATCTGGGTATGGAGTTTCTACGTGATTGATGATTCTGTTCTCTCGTAACATTCTTACCCTTATTTGAACTACTTACAGCATTTACTTTCTTAGATGCAGAAACAAAAACTGTTTTAGAAGGTCTAGCAACAAGTGAGTTATTCTTAACATATCCTAGACCCTTCCTATCTCCTGCAGGCTTATTCATTCCCAAGATATTGTCCAATTTCTTAGTCCCACTAACGAAAGTCTGAAGATGAGCATTAGATTTCTCCAATTCACTAGTCAAAGTCTTAATTTTGTCATCTAACTTCTCATTGACACACTTTAACTCACTACCATTCTTAAGTGACTCCTGAAGATTACTAGCAAGTTTCTCTTTTTCTCTTTCAAGTTCGTCAACCTTTTTGAGTAGGGCTTTATTTACCTTTTTGATTCTAAGACTCTTCTTAAATAAAAGTTGATAAGCTTCTTGTATGTCTATCTCATCCTCATCTTCATTACTAGAATTATCGTTAGAATGTTCTTCCTCAACCTTGTCACTTTCCTTATCAGATTCACTCTTAACAGTTGATACAAATGCCATGTAGTTTCCTTCGTCCTCACTACTAGAAGAATCCTGTTTATCACTGGTCTCAGATTCATTATCTGTGAGTGAGACAACTAAGGCCTTACCTTTCCCTTTTCTTTGGTTCTTCTTATAACTAGGGCATTCATTTCTATAGTGACCTATACCTTGACACTCATAGCACCTAACCAAACGTGGTTTATCACTCGACCCTTTATTGTTAAAAGTTTCAATTTTTGCTTTTGTGAATCTGTTAGGGGTTCCACTCTTTTTATCTTGAGGTTTTCTTCTATTCTTGAGAACTTTTTGGAATTTCTTAACAAAGTATGCGATTTCCTCGTCCCTAAGTGACTCAGTATCAGAAGATTCATCTTCTTTGATGGATTTTAGGGCTATGGACTTACCTTTCTTAGGTTGGGTAATAGTGAGTTAATAAGTTTGCAACGATCCTACCAGTTCTTCAATTTTAACTTCATCTAGGTCCTTACTTTCCTCAATGGCAGTGACTTTAGGTCTAAATCTCTCGGGCAAGGATCTAAGCACTTTTCTCACAATTTTAGACTCGGGAATTTTCTCACCTAGATTGAAGCTAGAATTGACAATGTCATTTAATTTAGCATAGAATTCGTCAAACGTTTCATCATCCTTCATTCTCACTTCTTCAAACCTAGAAGTTAGCATTTGTAACTTAGAGTTCTTTACCGTTTTAGTTCCCTCATGTGTAGTTTCAAGAATGTCCCAAACTTCTTTAGCAGTTTCACACATTGATGCTCTCCTAAACTCTTTGGGAGACACGGCCATAAACAGGGCATGAAGACCCTTGCTATTCCAATTACACTCAGCTAGTTCGTCCTTAGTCCACAGTGATATATCGGTAAGGTTAACAGTTCCTAATACGCTAGTAGAGGGAGGTCTCCAACCATTTTGCACACTTAACCAAACATGCTCATCTAAAGACTTAAGAAACGCACGCATTCTAACCTTCCAATAGGCATAATTACTTCCGTCAAAATACGGAGGAACAGAAAGTGATGGACTCATCTAGACAACTATGGATCAGGACTCGAGATTTAGCTCTGATACCACTTGAAAAAGATATAATTCGACCCAACCAACACCTAGAGGGGGGGTGAATAGGTGTTTATGCGGAATTTAAATCAATTAATTAATTCATGCAACAAGTCACATAAATTAAGCATTGCCTAGATTCATTCACATACTTTTATATACCTAAGTTGAATTTCCGGTTGAAAAGTAAATAACGAAAAACAATAAAACACCACAAAATGTTGACGGAGAAAAACTCAACTTGGTAAAAACTCCGGGTACAAGCCAGTAGAGATTCAATATCGAAGATATTGACTTACAGTACGCCAGACACAATTGAAACTACCAATTCTCTGACCTCCTTACTGTATCAACCAAAGCTCTCCTGGATTCTACAGATCTGCGCCAAAATCCCAGCCTTGAATATCTTCAACCTCTCGTGAATCACCAAGCATTCCTGCTCTTCAAGCAATTTCTTTCCCGGATCTTCAAACTGATGATCTTCTGGAAGTTGGTAAAGAGTAATGAAACAGTGTTTTGAATTTAGGCTTGAGCGAGGTCAGGGTGAAACGCTAGCGACATCAACGCGCCGTTTGCAACTGCAAAGCATCCACCTTTACCCTAGACCCATGCAATAAAATTTATTAAATTGCAACTCTAGTCCCTGAACTATTAGACTTTTACAATTTAGTCCCTGACGTTACAAACATGACAAATAGGTCCTTTGGTCACAGATTGCCAATTACACATTTTCCTAACACCATGCCAATAAAATAATTTAGAGCTCCTAGATTGTTGATTTTGAATCTGTCATCGAATTAGGTTTTGAAAGAATGAATAATTTCCATATTGTTACCAACCACTACAATATCATCAATATACACTAATATTGTGACGACCAGAGTTCTAAAGTTCGAGTACCACTAAAATCGTATCTTGAACATCATATTACACTTTCAAAGGTGGAAATTTATTTAAATAATAGCATAAAATTGAAAGATTGAATTCATAAAATTTTTGACGTCAACATAAAATAAAATATTAGAAGTTTAACAATCTCAATATCAAACCAATAATTAAATAAGTTCTTAAATAAAAAAATAAGCTTGGCGGGTTTCTTTCACTTGCCAATTTGCCAGTGCTCTTATTCATTAATTACCGTGAACCATCAATTTTCTGAAAGGAGATAAGAGGGGAGGGGGTGTGAGATAAAATTTCAATAAGCATATAAGCACATGGATTAATATTTGTATAGAATTTAAGGAACTACATACATACATACATAGTGAGTACAGGCTTGCCGTGGAGCCTATGTGAAATCCATTGAATTGCTTGTTGAGCTTGCTACACTGCAGACTTCATTTTTAACCCTTGACGATGCAATAAAGACCACAAATCGTAGGGTCAATGCCCTGGAGAACGTTGTGAAGCCTCGGCTGGAGAATACAATTAGTTACATCAAGGGAGAGCTAGATGAATTGGAAAGAGAGGATTTCTTCAAGCTGAAGAAGATACAAGGTTACAAGAGGAGAGAGCTCGAGAGACAACATTTGTCTGCCAAGGCATTTGCAAAGGAGAAGATGGCCGAGGAAATTTCTTTGAAGAAGGGTATCCCTATTGGTTCAGCACATAACAGGTTGTCCCAGGCTGCACAGAAGGATGAATACGTATATAGTGAGACATGAAAATCTATACCAAACATAGGTGGTATGAAACTTTTATGCGTAGCTCTACTATATTCCGGTCCAAATTTAGAAACATATATAGAGGACTTTATAATCAACGTTCCAAAAATCTAATGTACGCATATAATCCCATATAAAAATAATTATACACCTTATGAAAAAGATAAGAGAAACACTGGAATATTTAGGACTTCAACTCTTGACCCACGTATTTTTATTTGTGTATTTCATAGAGAAATGAATATACTTGAAAATGGGAAATATGATTCCTATTTATAGGGGTCATCCTGCTTTGAGAGTTCTAATTCAATTGAACTTTGAATTTTAAAAGTGATAAAATTTTATCATTGTCTCAACCATATTTCAGCTAATGGGATAAGATGATGAATTGAAAGTAACAAAAGAAATTATCTCCATAATTTATAAAATTAAATAAAGTATAGATAAATCAAAATATTATCTTTATAATTTAATATTTCAATTTTAACTGAAAGAAATAACATTGAAACTTTATCTCAATTATCTTTTAGCATTAAATAAAATATAAATAAATTAAATTATTATCTTAATTGGAATTTGATTTTTATCTCAATCATTTAAATTTCAATCTAACTAAAAGAGATAAAATTAAAACATTATCTTCATTATTTAATTAAAATTAAATAAAATTTTAACAACTTGGGTTTAAGCCCATAAAGAAAAATAAAACAAAAAAGCAGGGCTATAATTTCACATAATGGACTTCCATGTGATTAGTCGGGCTAAAATATTAATCTTGTCTATTTTTCTTTTTTCTTTTTTAAAACGGGCCTTTTTTTATTTTTTTTTATAACGGGTTAAACCTAAATTAATAAAATTAGGCCATAAGTACGGGTATTACAAATATAGAAGTAAAAGAATCTTTTGTGCTTCTTGTGAACAAACTATAATCTGATTTGGATTGCTGAAATCCTCGCTGAAGAATAAAGGAAGACAACATTGAGTACCATTGTCAAGAGGCATGCTTTAGTCCAGATAAACTTTTGGCTAATCATTTGTAGAATAGTCTAGTGGCAGTACCATATAAACTTCTTCATCCAAGTCTCCATGTGAAAATGCATTGTTTACATCAAGTTGATTTGAATGCCAGCATCTAATTGCTGCCACAACAAGCAAAGTTCTCACTGTGAGCATTTTCACCATAGGTGAAAGACTTCATGGTATCCTTTCGCTACTAGTTTGTCACATCCCAAGTATCATTCGACTTTAGAGCATTTACCTCAGCATGCATGGCATCTCTCCATTCACGACATTTAACATCCTCTTGATATGAATTAGGCTCAGTGTGTATAGAGATAGATGTAACAAAGGCTCTATGTGAGTTAGATAATTTATGATATGTTAAGGTAGCACATAAAGGAAAAGGAGCACCGGAGTAGCGGAACATTTCTTCTTATTTAACTATTGTAAATGGGATAGTGAGGAGACCTGTTGACGTACAGATTCGTGCAAAAGGAGCTCTCTTGCTCCTAGTGGGCATGCGAGCTAGATGAGGAGTTGTGGAGGTGCTTTGGGTAGAATCAGAAGATTTTAGTTGAGATATTTAGATTTGAAGTCTCGGTTGTTTGGTCTATATACTCTGCAAATTCTGTTGAAGACTGAGAAGTTTGACTAACATGATAGTTTAAATCAACATTTGTTGGATGAGAATAAATTAAATCACTAGGACTTGGAAGAGTGTGTCCAGAATTTTTGTTTTGACCTTTGTAAAGAAAAATATTTCATAGAAAACAATAATTTTAGATATGAAAATTTAGTTTGATTCAAGGTCTAGCAACTTCTAACATTCGATCCCAAAAGGATAACTTAGAAAAATACATTTCCTTGCTCTTCGTGTGTGAGAGAGATACAAAAGCAAGATATCTGAAAACTCTAAGATATGAGTAAGAAAGTTTGGCTTTAAATAGAAGTTCAAATGGTGTTTTATTGTCAAGAAGAGAAGTAGGTGTACTGTTTATGAGGAATACGGCACTCAAAACACAATCATTTCAATGTCTCATTGGAATTCCACTTTGAAATTTTACACAGGTCTTTTGATGTATGATTGACGAGTGTGTTTTACTCATGAGTTTTAATCTATTTTTTACTTGATTATGAGCTAGATTTTATGAGTAGTTAACATTTTTAATGTGTTTAGTATTATTTTGTAGAAGTGGTGAGATGGTGCAAACCAAGGAAAGAACTGATAAAACAAAGTTATTGGCATGGATTAAGGAGAAAAGGAGAACGAAAGGGGCTAAAGAGTCAAGTCACGACGTAAAGAAAGAAAAAGTGGCACTTTGACACCAAAATAGTGGCACCTAAGCTCCACCACGGCAGAGTTGAGGGACCACGGCTCCACAAACCAGAGAGAAGAAGTGTGGCGTTGTGGCACCACGGAAGGATTTGACGCGAAGCTGCGGCGTCTCAACCAGACGCCACGACGCCACCTCTTGATACCAAGGTTATGTTTTTCAGCCCATTTGAAGCCCAAAGAAACACTATTTTCAACACAAACGAGTGAAAGAGTATAAATAAAAGCTATTGGCACTTTAATAGGAATTCCACACATAGAGATAGAAAATACAAATAGAGATTGAAGAGTGTAATTCAATGGAGAAAAAACATCAAAAAAATTCAAGTTTTAAAAAATTGATTGGAAGATGTGCAATATTAATATCTTGTCTTACATCTTTATTCAAAATTTGGTGATGTGTTCAATAACAACATGTTTTTGCTTTTTCATTACGAGTAGCTAAATTTCATAATAGGGCAAACAATGTAATTTACTTGGGATCTTTCATTTCTTTTATTTAATATTCTTATTATTTTATCATATATTTGTAGATTTTGCTGTGAGATTAATGCATTGAATTGCTTGATCACTAGTTTGATGATTTTCTGAATTTTTTATGAATTGAGAGGTGAGTTTGAGATTTAGACCACATAGTAAAATTCGATAAATTAGTATAATGTATAGAGATACCTATATTAATTACTGCAATCAATATACGAATTCTTAAAACTAGTATTTCATTTAACTAAAGTTGATTCGCATAGAGGTATGATATTGAATTAGTTAAATAGGCTCAATGAGAACTCGAGATGAGTAAATTGAATACAGTAGAAGAATTCGATCGAATAGTAAATTAGACTTTTAAATCTTGAGTCGAGACTTAAATGTGATCAATAAGTGAAATTGTTCTGCCCAACTATCCGTTCAATAGTTAAATTCTAAATCAATCTTTGTGTGCATCCACATATTTTTAAATAGTGTGGTTAAAAATTACAACAAATCACTATTTTTATTTGTTTCCATTAAATAGGAGTTAGAAATAGTAAATTAAGCATTAAAGTCTAGTCTTTGTGTGAACAATATCTGAACTCATTAGTCTACTTTATTACTTGTTAAGATTCGTACATTAGCGGGATATAAAATCAACAACAATGATTGTTACAACTCAATTTCCATAGTAGAAAATTCAAATGTTGACTAGTCAAGGTCAAAGTCAATTAAGGACAAAAATGAAATTAAATATTTTATTGGGGTTTATTTTGCAATTGACAATATATGAGGGTTAAATGTGATATAAAAATGGAGTTGAGGGACTTTCCTTGCAATTTTTGAGTAAGTGGGATTTATATTCAACCTTTGACCACCTTTTTCTCTCAAAACACACACCAACACCTACACAAAAAAAAGGCAGAGAAGAAGAAATTGGCAGAAAGAAAAAGGAAAGAAAAAGGGAAAGAAAAGAGGGAAGAAAAGGAACAAAAGAAGAAGAAAGGGAAGAAAGGAGAAGAAGAAGAAGAAGGAAGGAAGGAGGTAGTTAAATGTTGATTTTCATTTTCCCTTCCCTCTATTCTCTTCAAGAGGTAGAAAAATTTTATGTTAAATTGCTAGGGTTTAATTTGTAGTTAAATTTTCAGATTTTGAGATGAATATTACCTGGAGCTCAAGTTATTGATTCTTTAATTTCCATCTAAACTAAGGTAAGGAGATATCATTTTTTTGGACAAACCCTAGTTTTTAAATTTGATGATTGAGTATGAATTATTTGTGGAAAGGATTACAATAATGGAATCATTCACTTAGAAGAATGATTTTGGGGAACAATAGATATGTTAATTTGGTTGTAGTATGATTACTAGTTTTTCACTAGAATGAAAGGGATACATATTGTTATGATTGGAATGATGTTAAATTTGGATAAAGTACACTCATGTGAAGGTTTTAGAAATTTAAAATTAGCTCCAATTGATTAGAGGAAATTTAGTTTAATTATTTTATCATTAGAAATAAAGGTTTCTTGTTTTTAATAGTGGTTAAATTAATTATTTTGTAACGTATTTCAGGTGGTGACGAAAAAATTGGAAAAGCTTACCAGCCTGCCTAGTCTGTAGTTCGTATTGAGTGAGTGGATATAAACTTATTTTCAGAAATTAGTATTTAATAAATTTACATTAAATCAAAAAATTTATTATTTCATGCAGTTGATTTGACAGCATGATTTTTAGAATGAGATTGATTATAAACAGTTGTTTTTAAAAAAAAAAAAACTAAATATAGGTTAGTTCATTTAAAATATTTGATTAGCTTGTTATATGAGTATTAAATATTTCAGTATATTTAAAGTTATTTTAAAACCATCAGAAAGTACTCAGGTGACTTTACCCTAGTCTGCACTTGTGTGAATGTGTTTCCACAGTGTATGACTCCATATAGTTATTTTACCCGCTCTGCACTGGTGTGAATATGTTTCCACAGTGTATGATCAGTTATGATGATTTTACCAGCTCTGCACTATTGTGAATGTGTTTCCATAGTTTATGACCAGATAGCTCTGCGCGCGTATGACCAGAATTACAGAATTTCAAAATTATAGAATTTCAGAATTTAATAGCTTTACCATGTCTATCAGTGCAAACCGATACATAAGTATAGTCATTCCGAGTAACTCTTTGGTGTGATTTTTCAGTAT